AATTCCTGAGTGCATGAGCAAGGAGTAACCCCTGTGCATCGCTGGGTGTGACCCAAAAAAGAAAAAAAAATTGTTTTGCAGTGATAGATAACTTGTTTGAAAACATCCATTTTTTAACAATTTGCAGTGTAATGTTTAATAAAAAAGCAATTACAAATGCGATATTAATGTATTATTTTTTCTTTATATTAATATAACAAAAATTGGGGTTTATTATTTGAAAAAATCAGGACCTTCATATAAGTGAAATTAAGCATACATATAGTCCCACTTATCTAGAAACAAGCATGGTTAATATATTCTTACAAAGTTTTGTTTTTTTTGTTTTGTGGGGCTGGGGAATTTTGGGCCACACTTAGTGGTACTCAGGGGTTACTCCTGGTTCTTGAGGAATCATATGGAATGCTGGAAATTGAACCCAGGTTGGCTGTATGCTAGGCAAGCATCCTTCCTGCTGTATTATTGTTCTGACCCCAGCCCCACAGTTTAAATATCTGTCCTGGGGCTGGAGCGATAGCACAGCGGGTAGGGCATTTGCCTTGCATGCAGCCAACATGGCCAACCCGGGTTCGATTCCCAGCATCCCATATGGTCCCCCGAGCACCGCCAGGAGTAATTCCTGAGTGCATGAGCCAGGAGTAACCCCTGAGCATCGCCAGTTGTGACCCAAAAAACAAAATAAATAAATAAATAAATAAATGTTTGTCCTTCTTTTTATTAAACAGATGCTCTATGTGCAATATTGTATTTTCAGGCACTTGGGATAAAAGGATAAATGAGATCGGGGTGGATGAGGGAAGGTCCTTACTCTCAGGACCTTTTTTCTTCATCAGGAAAAGTAGGTCAAATATCAATTCATTTTATAAAATTTTAAGTACAGTGAAGAAAATCTAACAGAGTCATAGACTAAATTGTAACCACAAGGGATAGTTATATTAGATAGGATTGTTAGAGAAAACCTCAGAGTAGGTATTTGTCTTAAGACAGTGTGAGACATTCTGAATAAACATTCCAGAAGGGATGGCAATAAATAAGGGTCTGAAGCAGGAATGAAGTGCTCTGAGGACCTGAAGGGCTGAAACTGAGAAGAAAGTCAGAGGGACAAGATGATGTAGGGCCCTGATGTGCCAAACGAGGAGCTTGGCTTTTGTTCCAAGTTGTTAGAAACCAAGGAGCTAATGGCACAGATGAATGATAGCTGTTGTTTATGTAGATATTACTCTTGGGGGGCAGCTAGGGGAGATCCTGAGGTGCAAGAACAGACACTCTGCAGGTCCTTCGAGAAGCTTGGTCCTGGGGATCTGCTGTAGGTTAGATAAGGTCAGGAAGGTGGAAGGAGGATATACGTGAGATAGTTTGGAGTACAAGACTTGCTCTCTGGATGAATCATGAGGAAGACAGAAAGAGCTTGGTCCTGAAAATCTTAAAGTTCATTAGTGCCATTTATAAAAATGAAGTCATAGAACTATAAAATGATTTAACTCATGTGTGGGATAGAAAGAAACATAGTAAGGGGTTGACAGAGTCCAAAGGAACCTGAAAGTTGGCCCTATAGAGTTGAGCTTACATTGGAGGGCTGCTGGAAGAAAACCTTGAAATACTGATGGAGGGACACTGACCCTTTGGTGCTGGATGTTGGGCTGGAATGTTGTATGCCTGAAACTCTGTCATGAACAATGTTATAAATCACATTGCTTCGATTGCAATTGGATAGCAGGGAATGAAGTCATCCTTCCACACCTTGTCTACACTATACAGAACTATACACCAAGAAGCAATTTTGTTAGTGTCTGGGCCAGAGCCATAGTACAGTGGGGAAGAAGTTTGACTTGCATGTAGTCAACACAGGTTCAATTCCTGGCATCCCATATGATCTCTCTAGCACCGCCAGGAGTAATTCTGAGTGCAGAGCCAGGAATAAGCCCTGAGCATTGCTGAGTGTGGCCCTAAAACCAAGTAAATAAATAAAACTTCATTTAAAGAAAAAGAAATTGTGTTAGTGTGAGCTGAGCAGGCTTGAAATTAATAAAAAAAAGTGATGATTTAAGAAGTTTGATTTTTATTAACTTTAATCAAATAACTTTGTGCCTTATCACATCTCTATCTCTGCAGTTCCTGGCCTTCCTTGAGGCTTGTTTCTGAATGCTAGGTGTGAATATCTGTTAGCCCCTTGAATAAAAATTGTTTTACTTTCCCTTAAATCTCTATCACCTTCTGGAAATTTTGTCTATAGTACTGTCACCACAGTGATTAAAGTCATCAAGCTTTGAATCATTTCTTTTGCCTAGCATATCCAAAGGATACAGTCTTTCTGATTTTAAGTGGCAGAGACTCGCCTCTGTGATATGAATAAAGTGACATTGTTGGATTAGTTGGGCTGGAGCGATAGCACAGCGGATAGGGCGTTTGCCTTGCATGCAGCCAACATGGCCGACCCGAGTTCTATTCCTCCACCCCTCTCGGAGAGCCCGGCAAGCTACTGAGAGTATTTTGCCCGCACGGCAAAGCCTGGCAAGCTCCCCATGAGGTATTCGATATGCTTAACACAGTAGCAACAAGTCTCATGATGGAGACATTACTGGGCCCGCTCGAGCAAATCGATGAACAACGGGAGGACTATGACTGTGTTGTGTTAGCATAATCATATCACAGACTAGCCAGGTGTTGTGGGTACCAGGTATCAGGAAGTCTGATGTTCCTCTTCTCTGCTCAGTCAGAAATGGGGTTTGGTACCTCTCAGGTTATGTCCCCAAGTCCAGTACTTAAGATTCTAGGTAAAAACTGATGGTTCCACTTGGGGTCACCTCACAACTAGGGGAACTATGATTGTCAGCACCCCACTGGACCTCTGGGATAAAGTAAGGGAAGGTCAAACCTCAAAAAAATAAGAAGGAATGTGCTTGGGATAGGAAAAGAGGGCTAAATACACAATATTTTGTAATACCTCCTCATCCCAGAAAGCTTCCAGATGGCCTTTTTGCATGACAAGTGAGTAAATATAAGGAGCAAGACCCTCACCGTGGCAGGACAATAGAGCTTACATTTGTGTAGCATTCATTATAGGCATTACTGGTTTTCTTCACTGATGCAGAAGGCTCAGAGATTTTTCTAGGACCATTCATAGCTAACTGAGGGTGTGACCATGGTCTGACCCTCTGGAACAGTCACAGCCTCTGGCTTCTTTCATTGTCCTTGAAAACTGAGTGCTCATTATTGTTCTGAATAATGAAAAGGAAAAACCTTATTCTTGGAAGGCAGGTACTATATGCTGCACTTTAATGAACCGGTAATAACATCTTAAATTTCCAGGGAAATCACACTGTCCCCTTCCCCTTCCCAGACCACATGTTCTGTTTTGTGTTATCAGCACAATGCATGGCACATCAGCTTTCCTGGTTGTTTCCCCTCTTTCTCACTGTAAGGTAGTATACCAGTCATTATTTTTTGTCTTATAAGATTGTTGTAGGAGCCAGAGAGATATTACAGCAATTTGTAAGTGGCTGACCCCAATTCGATCCCTGACTCCCCATATGGTCTACTGAACTTTTCCACGTGTGATTTCTGAGTGCAGAGCTGGGAGTAAGTCCTGAGCACAACCAGGTGTGGCTCCCAGACCAACCAACAGACAAGCAAGATTGTGGTGGGAAATTGGGAGCTGGGGGGCTTTCAAGCACTGCTTAAGAGTCACCAGGGTCCCACTGAACCTGGTCAGTAGTTCAGTGCAAGGAATGGAGATTGTGGCGCTTCTCAGACTCCATAGTTCTAGGAATAACCCAGGTCACCCTGGCAGTGTTGGGAACCTTTGAACCCAGCAGTGCTTGGAACGGGGAGAGGGGGTACTCAAGGACTGTACCTGGTCATACCTGGGAAAGCATGTGGTGCTGAGAATTGAACCTGAAAAGCTGCACTGTCTCTCAGCCCCTATAGGAAATATTTGAAACATGATTAACAAAGCCCTGTTGCTCTGGAGCCATACAGAAGCCTGCATTTCCAGAGCAGGGTATGGCAGAGAGGAAGTCAGGGGCATCTGTGCTCACCCAGACTGGGCTGGTCTTGCCAGCCTTCCACCTCTGTACTGTGTGTGAGCCCCCCCAAACTCCCAGAGCTGGGGGCTCATGATCTTGGTGCCTTCAGGACAATGTGTATAAAAGCCTATATATCCAGTAAAGAGGAGCAGTACTAACGGTGACAGTATTTTCGATTGTGTGCAGGCCAGTGGATTTAATGCCTATCTCAGCATTTATTTCATAAAACAGAATCCATAACAATCCAAGACATTGAATTTTCTTTTTATCAGTGTATTGGAAAAAATCCACACTTCAAGGAGTTTATATTCTTCTACCTGGGGGAGAAAGACAAGAAACAAATACATATAAAATGTCCTATATTTGATGGTGATAAATTAAGTATGGAATAGAGAGAATCGGGGAATAGGCTGTGACTTAAGGTCAGGATTTCAGGGCCAGGATGATAGAGCAGGAGGTAAGGTGCTGGGTCCAGGTTAGATTCGCCAGTATCACACATGATTCCTGAGCATCACCTGAGGTCACTTTTAAGCACAGAGTTGGAAATAGCCTCTGAACACTGCTTGGTGTGGTCCCTTCCCCATCCCTCGAAACTTCCAAGATCAGCATTTTAGAGTTAGCTCCTTTGATAAAGATGAACTCTCTTTTATGACCTAAGAGCCTGGTCATATATTGCAAAAGACTATGTACAGGCTTTGCCTGATTAAGTTAGTCAATATAGGCAGTATTTGAATAAACCCTTAAAGTTCATCTTGACCGCATGGGGTTTTATTGTCATCTTTTTTCCATCCTTTTCCACTAATTTTCTGGCTTCTCTTTCAGTTTTATCATTTGATACTTGGTATTTGTGTTGTTTCCCTTTGCTCTTGAGGGAAGGAATCTCCCATCCCACAGGGAAGGAATTGGCTTGGTGTCTGGCTGGAAATGGGTAGATGATGGCTTTTCCTAGTAACTGTTTTTTTTTCTTTGGTCTAGGATCCATTGGCGGTCTCTTCTTTGCAGTTGGCATTGCCCAATATGCTCTATTGGGGTACTTGATCCGTGCCTGGAGGACCCTCGCCCTTGTGGTTAACCTGCAGGGAACCATAGTCTTTCTATTGTCATTGTAAGTACTCTTTCTCCTCTGAGTTTTCATTGTGAAGTAGAAAGGATGACCTCAGAGGATGCATGCAGGTCAATGCATGAAACTGTTTCCTGTCAGAAATTTGAACTGACTTTGGTGAACAACTAAATTCCACAAGTGCTCCAAATGCTTGGTGATTTAGAAGAGATAGATGCTTAAGCACTTCCGAATGCAAGTAACCTCATTAGACTGCAGCTTAAGCCTTCAAATTGTCTGTATCGTTCACATTGTTGATGTCAGGCATGCATTTCTCTCTCACTCTAATGCTTCAAGCGTGAAGATCTTCAGGCTGGGGCAGACCATGTGCTGATATGTAACAGATATCATTTGTAGATGTCAGTCTGTTCATATTGAATACATAATGGCAACTATTCTTACTACAGATGAGTATCTTTTCAGAACCTCTAATAGTGGCCTCTGGAAGATTCTCAGACTTGGGAAACATCTTTGGAGTTCATGAGCTTAAGGCAGTGAAAGGATACTTCCTTTGTAGGGTTCTGAAAAATGTTTATGCTTTAAATTCTGTAAAGTGAAACACTGTCTTAACCTCCTTTACTGAGATTTTTGATCTTCTTATGAAAGGATTCCTCCTGAGGTGGCACTGATTTAAAAGGTTTTAATCATTAAAATATTTGGGTTAAATAAAATTTTCAGTCGTGGGACCAGTTTTCTTCCATGGCATATCGAGAGGGATAGATATAGCATAATGTTTTATTCAGGTGGCTCTTTCATCTAGCAGTTCCTTGAAATTTAGTGGGATTAAACTGAAATCTGTTTTTGTTTGTTTGTTTTTTGGGCCACACTTATAAGAGCTCAGAGTTTAATCCTGGCTGTGGGCTCAGGGATTATTAACAGGTGATGCTCAGGGGACCATACAGGTTTCCTGGGGAATCAAACCCCAGTCAGTCATATGCAAGGCAAACACCTTGTACTATCTCTCCTGACCCAAACTAAAATCTTTTTTATACCCACTTTTAATGTAAGAGAATTGTTAAGTGCAAAAATAGTAGAAATAGTTCAGTTATATTTTAAAAGATAAAATTTATTTAGCTGTGAATTAGAGTGAAATAGTTTTGTTAGCATGGCAAACTAACATTTTATTAACTTGTGAATTATAAATTTGGGGAATAAACTGGTACCTAGCCTATTTCCCTGAGTTAATAACATTTCTGTAAGTATTAGCAGAAAATGATCTTTTTTTTTTGCTTTATTTTTGGGTCACACCCGGTGATGCACAGGGGTTACTCCTGCTTCATGCACTCAGTAATTGCTCCTGGCGGTGCTCGGGGGACCATATGGGATGCTGGGAATCGAACCCGGGTCGGTTGCATGCAAGGCAAATGCCCTACCCGCTGTGCTATCACTCCAGCCCCGAAAATGATCTTTTTAATACTCTCATCTCTTATCTCACTTTCAATAGTAGAAAATTAATGAATGAGTTATTCTGCTTTTCCTGTGCTGAATTTGTAATATGAATTTGTTATTGCATAGTGCCTGGTGGGGACATACCCTCACTGAGAAATGAACTTGGATTATGAAAAACAAAGAGGAAAAAACACAGAAATAAAAATGCATGTTTTGGACCATTAGTCCTAGGATATGTGCCCCACAGTCAGCCACCAGTTTCTCTTTCCTGATTCTCTCCCACCTTCTTTCCCAGAGCCTCTGTGCCGGGCACATGGAGCTGTGTGTTGGCCCCAGTGTACACATTGTGCTTTTCTACTTTTATCCCTCTGCTTACTGCTGCGCCTGTTCTTTCAATGCTTTGTTCTCTTTTCCTTTTTTAAAAAAATTACGTTCAGGCCAAGACTCAGAGACTATAAAATCCAGATCCCGGAACCGCGCGGCCGCATTTGCGGCCGCGCAACATCTTATCAGAACTTTTTTTTTTTATGACATCTTATTATCTCATTCCTACTTTGGACATACTTGCAGGCTATCGAATGTAGCCTGCCCACAGGGCAGAGTCTGGCAAACTCCCCGTGGCGTACCAAATATGCCAAATACCAGTAACAATGATGGGTCTCATTCTCCTAAAGAGCCGTGAATATTATCTCAGGGCTAGGATGAAAGAGACGTTACTGGGGCCTGCTCGAGGCAATCGACGATTAACAGGATGATGAAATGAAATGATGAAAAACGTTCAGACATCATTCATTTATAACATTATTTGAGTTTTAGGAATACAGTATTAGGATTCAGCATCTGTATGCACTATATCAGCATCAGAAGACTAGTTTTGAGAAAGAAAGATAATACAGTGGTTAAAGTTCTTACTTGCATGCAACTGAGCTCAGTTCCATTCTCAGCATCACATAGTCCCCCAGACACACAGCAAAAAACAGTCTCTGACCATAGCCTATTGTGATCCCAACTCCTCTCCGTCCCCCCCAAAAGACTAATTTTCATTCACAATACAGGTGGTTCCTCTTTATCAGTTTCACACATTCCCTTAAACCTTTTGTAAACCACCTGTTGTCTAAGAGTTTTTGTTTCAACATGTTTGTTTGTTCTTTTGCTTTATATAACTGGAACCATAGAGTCTTTTCTTATTCGACTCACTTAGCATAATGTCTTCAGATTTAATCCATGTTGCCACAAGTGGTAAGAGTTTATCTTTTTTTTTAAATAGCTGAGTAGTGTCCAGTTATGTGTATATACCAAATCCTCTTTATTCACTCCTACATTTGAGGATCGAGTTTTCATTTCTTAGCTATTGTCCGTAAGACTGCTGTGACTATGACTTTTTGAACTAGTGTTTCCATAGTCTTCAGATAAGTCCCAGAAGTGAGATAGGTACATTAGATAATATTTCTATTCTTAATCTTTTGAGGAATCTTCATACTGTTTTCCATACTGTCTTCACCAATTTGCATGTCCAACAGTATGCAAGTGTTTCCTATTCTCTTCATTCTTGCTGACATTTGCTGTTTCTTGTCTTTCTGATAGTAACCAGGCATGAAGTGATACCTCGTTTCTGGTTTCATGCTTCTCCTTTTCTTAGAAACAAGTGATGGTGCACAACTTTTTTGACCCTGTGTGTGCCTCCTTTGGATAAATGTCTATTCAGATCCCCACTTTTTGTCCTACTGCTGTTGCACTGTCTGGGTTCTTCATAGATTTGGGCTATACATTTGGAGCACCCCCTTACCTGGTATAATCTTTGCAAATATATTCTCCCATTCAGAAAAATGCCGTTTTTGTTTGGGAGGGGGTGTAGCTGCTTTCACTGTGAAGAAGGTTTTGTTTTTTGTTTGATTTTAGTTTGAGGTAGTCAGTTTTGCTTTTGTTTTCCTTTGCCATTGGAATAGTGTTCACAAAAGATCTTGAAGGCCCATGTCAATCGCCCTGTCACCTATGTTTTCTTCTATATATTTTATAGTTTTGGATATTACATTTTGTCTCTAATCCATTTTGAAGCAAATTTTAATGAGTGGTTTAAGACTTTGTATAATTTTATTCTTTAGCATGTGGCTTTCCAGTTTCCCATACACTGTTGAAGAGAATTTCCTTTCTCTATTGAATGTTATTGGCTACTCTCTTGTAAATAGCTCTGTTCCAGTGATTAACCACACCTTCTCATATTTAATCAACAGCTTTTCCGGTTGCTCATTGCTATCCCTCTGAGTCTTTCCTGACCATGCCTCCCACACTATTTTCTTTCTTCTCTACATTTTGCAACTCTGACTCTGTGTCTATGGTATACCTCTCTTTCTTCCACCTCATCATAGCCCTGTCTCTCTATAAACCAGGAACTGCACCTGCACATTAACCTTTCCCAGCACTAGACCACAGAGCCTTCCACAAGGTAGAATAGATCTAATAGATCCTTCCTATTACAAGGAACTTGAGAATTAAACCTCCCTCAGCTATGAAATACATTGTTTTAGTTCTTTTACTATAACATCATTATTTGCCTTGAAAATTCACCATGCTCACATTAATTGATTGAATTGTTTCATCTAAAAATAAGTGCCCATCGATTTATTTACAAAGTATCACAACTTTTTGGGGCTGGAGCAATAGCACAGCAGGTAGGGCGTTTGCCTTGCCCGCGGCCAACCTGAGTTCAATTCCCAGCATCCCATATGGTCCCCCGATCACCGCCAGGAGTGTCTCCTGAGTGCAGAGCAAGGAGTAACCCCTGAGCATCGCAGGGTGTGACACAAAAAGCCAAAAAAAAAAACCAAACAAACAAACCAACGTATCACATCTTTTTAAGAAAGTCTCAACATGTTTGTTGAGTAGTCACAACTATAAAATTAGCACTGTAATATTTTTAAATTAAATCACCATGAATTACAAAGTTACAAAGATATTTATGATTGAGAGTCAGGCATTCAGTGTTCCAGCACCAATCCCTTCACCAGTGTATACTACCCACCACCTGTTTCCCTCCCACCCCTCAGCCGACTCTATGGCAGGCATTTTCCCCTCCACCCCGATCCCAGTAGCAAACTTCCTAAATACGGCCACACTATAGAGAAGATAAAGCATGTGCCATGAGAGCGTATGCTTTCACTATTGCCCTGCTTTGTGTCTATAATCTCCACGTGTTGGGATTTATGTACCAAATCTATCTCCCGGACGAGAACGCTGCAGTCTTTTTGCCCCCACGCCTGGGTGTCCCTCGCCGGGACCCCTTGGAGGGGAGCGGGTTGAGCTTTCCTCCCCGCCCCGACCGGGGCTCCGGCAGCCGAAGACCTTCAGGACCAGCCACCACCATGCTGAGACCACTCTCCGCACACATGAAGGTACTGGCAGAGGGACAAAGCCACGCGGGTTCCGGGGCCGAGACCTCCAAGCCTACTCGGATTGGAGTCGAGCATCTTCCATCCAGATCCTCCAAATTCCAGCAGGCGGCGGTCACACCCACCACCTGGCCCCCTGGCGCCGTGTAATCCCATCAGCGGCCAAGACTCAGAGACTATAAAATGCAGATCCCGGACGAGAACGCTGCAGTCTTTTTGCCCCCGCGCCTGGGTGTCCCTCGCCGGGACCCCTTGGAGGGGAGCGGGTTGAGCTTTCCTCCCCGCCCCGACCGGGGCTCCGGCAGCCGAAGACCTTCAGGACCAGCCACCACCATGCTGAGACCACTCTCCGCACACATGAAGGTACTGGCAGAGGGACAAAGCCACGTGGGTTCCGGGGCCGAGACCTCCAAGCCTACTCGGATTGGAGTCGAGCATCTTCCATCCAGATCCTCCAAATTCCAGCAGGCGGGGGTCACACCCACCACCTGGCCCCCTGGCGCCGTGTAATCCCATCAGCGGCCAAGACTCAGAGACTATAAAATGCAGATCCCGGAACCGCGCGGCTGCATTCGCGGCAGCGCGACATCTTATCAAAACTTTTTTTTTATGACATCTTATTATCTCATTCCTACTTTGGACAAACTTGCAGGCTATCGAATGTAGCCTGCCCACAGGGCAGAGTCTGGCAAACTCCCTGTGGCGTACCAAATATGCCAAATACCAGTAACAATGATGGGTCTCATTCTCCTAAAGAGCCGTGAATATAATGTCAGGGCTAGGATGAAAGACGTTACTGGGGCCTGCTCGAGGCAATCGACGATTAACAGGATGATGAAATGAAAAAAAATGAAAATCTATCTATTGGCAGTGAGGTGACTCTTTGTATTAGAAGATTCACTGTCTTCTCATAATGTGGAGAAATACCTGGTCCTAATTTTACATAATTAAGGTAATCCCTTTACCAAGTAGAAAGAGTTTATCTAACTCAGGGTCAAATTTCCAAAGTCCAAATATCATCTTCAAAATATCATCTTCAAAAATGGTTTGTAGGGGCTGGAGAGATAGTACAGCAGGCAGGGGTGCACCTTGCACGTGGTTCCCGACGCCCCATGTGGTCCCCTGAGCCCTGCCAGGAGTGAGCCCTGAGTGCAAAGTCAGGAGTAAGCTCTCAGCACCATAGGGTGTGGGCAAAAGAGAAATGATTTATAGACTTTAAAAAGTAATGTGTTCGGATTATAAACAGTACTGAAAACACAGTCAAGGGGTGGAAGGAAGAAAGCACAGCAGTAGGGCGTTTGCCTTACAAGCGGCCAACATGGCCGACCCGAGTTCGATTCCTCCGCCCCTCTCGGAGAGCCCGGCAAGCTACCGAGAGTATTCGATATGCCAAACACAGTAACAACAAAGTCTCCAATGGAGACGTTACTGGGCCCGCTCGAGCAAATCGACGATCAACGGGAGGGCCTTTACCTTTTCCTTTACCTTACCCAGTATTAACAACTGTTAATAATTTGGCTCTTTTCTTGTTGATTCTCACTTCTCCCAGCCCTCAGTTATATTTTTTATTCTCACATGCTTTCTAGCATTTTATTTGCTATTCCAACCTAATTATTTGCCCCAGTAGCTTTACATTTGAATTTAGCTTTACATTTGAATTTAGACTTCTTTAAATTTAGACTTAATCTGGTGGCTTCCTTAGATCTCACTTAAGGACTTGTGAATTGGGTTAATTGATCCATTTGATGATCATCCAACCTAATGGCCAGTGCTTGCTTATTTACCCCCGTATCAGTAATAATCAAATGGCAGCAAAGAAATTAACAAATTTTCTTGGATGTTGTATAAAATCTTTGTTTCAGCTTTTGTTGACCATACAGTTTCACATGACTATCTGTCTTCCTAGTAGCAGGATTCCTGGGAAAATTCCTGCCGAACCATGAAAGACATGCCCAAGTCTTTCCTCTGGGCACTCATTCCCTTGCTCAGGACAAAATAAAGGTGCTCCATTGGTAATTATAAATGGACTGTCCGGCCATGAAGTTCCAGTTCCAAGTGTTTGTTGTCACTTCACTGTCCTTACTGAATGACATGGAAAATTCTACATGGCACTTAAACAGCCAGAATTTTAAGCAAATAATGTCAAATTAGCTCAAAAGGTACTTGATGCTGTGCTTAGTAAACAAAGCTTCTGTATTCCTGCCCAATCTCTGCCCAGTCCTCTAGTTCAGAACTAATACACAGGATCCAGGGATTGAAGTTGAAGACTTTGTAACTAGGGGAGGAAATAGCTGGTGTTTTTTGGTAATTGGAAGTTAAACGGAAAATTTAACTTTTATTCTTTAAAATCTTAGGTGTTCTGGATATATCCATTAGATATATTAAAACAAAACCTGATTTGAGTACTTTGAAGCAGTAAGTGCTGAAAAATAATTATGTTGTAATAAAGTATTTGCTTTTGTCCTCGTTCCTTTTTCCCCTTGTTTTTATAGGACCGCACTCCTGGCAGCGCCTTGGAAGGAAGAGTTCAGGTCTGGGGGGCAGTTGCCTTACCTGCTGTGTGATGTCTCTGCCCGCCCCCTTTTTTAATTCTAAAAATAATCTCTCATATTAATAACACAGCGGTCTAATAAAATTGTCTTCTAAGGAGACAGTAAAGATTTTTTTTCTGTATTTGAGATGATTTTCCTGAACTCAAAAAAACTATGCATACAAGTTTCTAATAAAGCTTGAATCTAATTGAGAGCACTATCCCTACCTGTGCTTATTAACGAAGAATTTGTACTATTCAGAGTTATAGACTGAACTTGTCCTTTATTAAAATGTACTTAAAGTCTGGAGCAATAGTACAGTGGGTAGGGTGTTTGCCTTGCATGTGGCAGACCCAGGTTCAGTCCCCGGCATCCCATATGGTCCCCGAGCACTGCCAGGAATGATTTCTGAGTGCAGAGCCAGCAGTAACCCCTGAGCATCTCTGGGTATTACCCCCAAAAAAGCAAAAAAAAAAAAAAACCTAAATTAAGAAATTGTACTTAAAAGTAAATACAGGGTCTGGGAGATAGTACAGCAGGTAGGCTGCATGCGTTGCATGCAGCCCACCTGGGTTCAATCCCTGATACCCCATATGGTCCACCAAGCCTGTCACAACTAATCCCTAAACACAGGGACACAGCTGATGTGGCCCCCCAAAATTATTTTTTAGAAAAATACATACCTACTATCCTGCAGCTTTGAAAATACTTTCTTGGTCTCCAGTCATCAAGGAGAGCCCTATGTAGCCTTACAGGCATTAAGTCTCCCTCTTTTCCTCTCCCACTTACCCTTTGGGAGGCTCCAACTTTAAAGCAAAACAGGAATTTGCATCCCACCGGGATGGGTTGTCTTCTCTAGCCCAGTGCCTGTCTGAACGCAGCCTCTCATGATGTCTCCTGCAGGTCCATCCCTGAGTCGCCCCGTTGGCTGTACTCCCGGGGCCGGCTGCGGGAGGCTGATGCAGCCCTCTGCCTCATTGCCAGGAGGAACCGCAGGCCCAAGGGCACGTTTGCACTGACACAGCCTGTGCACCGCAGCGGTGAGCAGACAGGAAGCTTCCTCGACCTGTTCCGTCACCGGGTTCTCTTGGGGCACACACTCGTTCTGATGTTCATCTGGTAATTATATCCAAGGCTGTTGGGACAACCTTCTTCCCAGATTGCACAGAATGTCCTGATGATCTCTCCCTTCATCAGGGTCATAGAAAATGTTGCCTCTTGCTGTTCCTTTGGGTTGTTCTCATAAAAACAAGGAGCCTGTCTCTTAACCAGGCACTGTTTGCTCTCCTCTGGTTTTGCAGCATCTCCAGCGGGAGAAGAGATGGTGCATGACCCTGTATAAGTGGGTATCAGAAACATATCTTTCCCATGAGGTATTTCTTATAAATTGTCCCCCCCCACCTGCCCACCCCCCGAACAGCAGCAGCAAGATGGGACGCAAGAGAGCCTACCAGAAGTAGCCGTATCTAAAGAGCATTTTCTAGCAGTGTGTATTTGGGGTTTGGGTTGGATAGCACTAATAGTGCATATTTGGGGGTTGGGTTGCAATGACCTGTGCCATATTTCATATTATTCTTACTCACTGGGGTGGGCCAAATGTTACCCCAGATACAAAGGGGATTCTGAGAGTTGGAACTGACAGACCCTGAGCCACATGGACAAATCAGTGAAGAAGATTAGTACTCTCTGACCTGATTTTCAAATGTAATTTATTCTAACCTGCCTCCTTCAGTGCACTCAGCATTAATGTAAATGCTGTGGAATAATTAAAGATGGTTTCCTCTGAAGAATGAGGTTGTAACTGGGAGAAATGAAGAAGCAAATCTTATGTGCATTGTGGAGTGCATGTGGGTTTTAATTCACACTCTGTGCTCTAGTACTCTAAATGTTTAGAGCCTTGCTTCTAAAGCTATGGGTGTGAGGTCCCAAACAGGCCCTTCTGGCCCGTGTTCTTCCTTAAACACCGATCTCACTTGCTTATCTCAGTATCTGTTTGCTTTTTCACTCTGGAGAAGTCCATCTAGAACACTTACTTCCTCTCTTTCTCTCCCCTTGCATCTAAGTAAATATTTATAAAAACTACCCTGCTTCACTATTTTTTTTTAAAGTAAGTCCATTGAGATGCCATGTAACTGAATGGAGCAGAGGGGTGCAGGGACACAAAAATCTTGGCAGCAATAAAAAGTTTCTGATCACAAAATGACCCAAAATTAATTCATATTAATGTGGTTAGTGCAGGGTCTTCATGGCAGTGTCTCCCCTGTTGAATTTCTCAAGCAAAAAGGGGTTACCCATGGAACAAGTTTAAGAAGCCGTGTAGGGGCAGAGACAGTCCAGGGATTAAGGTCTTGTGGGGGGACATAAACATTCTACTTTCTGACTGAAAGGATTGTGATATTATGGTTTGTATGTATATGCCATGAAGGCTGTTTGGAAACCTTCATATTCTTTTGTGGTGGGGGAGGAGCTTTGGGGTGACTACACCTGTTGATACTCTGGACTTAACTTCTAGCTCTGTTCTCAGGTATCACTCCCAGTGGGCCCAAGATACTATATAGGTTGTTGAGATTGATTCCAGATTAGCCACATGTAAGGCGATAGCCCTAATCAAGGTATTATTTCTCCAATCCAGGAAACCTACGTTTTCACTAGGAATAAAGGAGAAAAATTTCAAAAGGCGATTTTATGTATAAAACTAAGAAAAATACTAGATGTAGAGTAAGACCCCACAAACAGATGTTTTTTGTATCTAGACTCTCCTACTGCACTGTATTGAGTGCCGTGTGTATTGTTGGCTTCTTCATCGCTGCATTAGCAGCCCTGCAATATCACAGATGCATTAGTAGATGCTGAGCAAAGCACTCCAGCCTGGAGACATGGAGATTAAGGGGCTCTTCAAAGGCCTAATTTGACAACACAGCATAGAACCTACCAATTTATGATGCTACCTGCTGTCAAGTAAATAAATACTAAGAAAGTTCAGGTATTTAGAGATTTATAAAATTTTGCACCAAACTCTCTGCCCCCAAGGAACACCTGCTTTTTATTTCCTCTTGTCTTGAAGGGTTTTTTTTTTTTTCCAGGAATGCTAATACTGGATTCTGGCCTTCAGGAGATAAAAACCAGACAAAAGAGACTTAGAGCCAGGAGAATCCCTTGCTTATTTTCTGTCTTATACAGCTAGAGGATCTCATCTCAAATAAACTTCTTTCCCCCCAGGCTCAGATTGTTAAAATACATGATAATAGAGGAAAAGCCATTGCACATATTGCTGTTCTGTTTGAAGATGCCGTCAAACTTGAGAACCTTTTCTGTGAGTCTGTCATTGGAGAAAGGCTTAACTGGGAAGCAAAATGACACTCTGTGTTTAACCTCCAGTCTTCGACTGTTTCCCCCAGTAGTACCTTTAGAATAGTTCCTTCATGCCTTAAATATACCATTAAATATTATGCTAGCATTTTAAAATTCTGTTAGGGACCCATAAACAGGATTGCAATGATTTTAATGGCCACAATCTGCATCCCAGTGACTGACTCTGCCATCAGGAACACTTGGGAGCAGCGCCCCAACTTCAACATCTGGGCTGTGGGAGCTTGTCTTGGTTTACCTTACCCCTCTGCTAACGTCGCGCTCACCACCAGCTGGTCACTAAACTTCTCTAATGTCCTGAACTGGTGCCATTGGTTTGTGTCTGACTACGTTCCATCACGATTTATTCTAAATAGGTGTGCGTGTTTTAATTCCGTGCAGAAATTCCTTCACTGGGAATCATAATGGAAATGCAGAATAGCACACATTAGCATACATGTCACATTAGGAATGGCATTATGTAAGCGACTGTTCTCTAGTGCAGGTAAAGAGGGTAGTTAGCGTGTTTTTATAGGGCCCCAAGGGTATGGCTCGATGTTGGAGTACCTGTCTTGCATGGATACAGCTGAGAAGTGGATCCACAGCATTGCTGGGGCCAGCATAACAACCTGATGTGCCATCCCTTGGCATCACAACAACAAAAGAAAAGGAAATTGGCTTAGATCCCTGATGCCACCCCAAAATTAATTTTAGAAAATGGCATGAGTTTATATGTATCACCCTGCTGCAAGATGCCTGGGGGAGAAGGGGGAACACAGAGAAAAAACACAATCAGCTCCATGTCACCTTGTATCCTTGTACACAGTGTCCTGTCTGCCTCTTTGTTCCTTGTTTGTGTCAAATGACTGACAGTCCCAACAGCCAGCCTTGCAGGGAGGTAGCGGCCTCATTTGCGGTGTTTACCACCAATCCCATCACCAGTGTCAACTTCCTTCCACCAGTATCACCAGTTGAACCCATTTTAAATGACCCAAGGCACTTGGCCTGCTTGCTTCCTGCACAGAGATGGATAAAAGAAGTCTTTTCAAAAACCTCCTGTCTGATTTTATTGTAGTCAGAACTCATTTGAGGTTTTCTTTGTAAAACCAAAAGGAAGTAAATGGGAATTTCCCCCTCTGGGTAAATATTTGTTAAAGTGATGTGCAAACACAAATGGACAAACTTCCAAACCCCAAATGGTTTACTGTTGGTATAGAAATGCACAGTTTCCAAACCCTACTTATGTATTCGTGGAGCTGATTTCTGGTTTTGGTTTTGTTTCCTTTTAACAATATGGGTTCCTTTCATGTCTTCTACTTTGAGAAAACCCCAAGCAGGACCTTCAGGGCGGCATTGGGCTTCTGAGTTCCTAGACATTTGGAGGGAGGGTCCGTGCCCACACGCTACCTGCCCTCCAGGCAGTGCTCAGGAGGTGTCATAGCAGCAGTGGGCAGCTCACACTAGTGGCTGTTCAGAGGGCCCTTTTCTGTTCCATTCTCCAGAGAAGATACTGCCTCTGCCATGGTACCTGTCTTCCTTTTACTGTCCTGGGGGTCTACTGAATGCCTGGTGAGAAAACCTGGGCAAGGGGTCAGTTGTCCATCTCAGTACTTCTTAGTCCTTATGCACAGGGGCACCCTCTGTTGGCTTTCTCATCTGGAGCTCTTACTGGAGTGATCTTTGGGTACTATCCCAACAAATGCCCATGGCATATATCATAAAATTGTTGAGTTAAGGGCCAGGGAGATAATACAAAGGTACTTGTTTAGCATGTAGCTACAGTGGCTATAATTACAACCCTGGTTCGAATCCCTGGTACCATGTATGTCCCCCCACACACCCTCAGGAGTCATTCCTGAGCAGAGACCTAGGAATAGTTCCTGAGCACTGCTGGGTCCATGCGGCTCAAACCCTCCCAGCCTTCTCAAATACTGAATTAAATAATGTAATAGAGTTGTCCTCTTCTATTAAAAACTGGAAATTTGCTCAAAGCACAGTTTAAAAAATGATTATGGTAGCTCATGTAACATGGTTACAATAGTGTGAATGTGAGGTGCACAGTTCCCCTAACTCACTGCAATGTGGTTTTTCAGGAACTAGCCACTCATTTGCTTTCTCTAGTCTGGAGAGATCCCATTTAAGGACCCTTGTGTTTTGTTCCTTTCTTATAATAGAAAATTAGGGAGTAAAAGACTTGGGAGAGTCAAACTTATTGCTTGTGACAGATCCGTTATCTTGGTTCCTCTCTGTCAAATCCACCATATCCTTTTTTTGTTATGCTTCTTGTCTTTTACCCCAATTGCAGGTTTGTGTGCAGCTTGGTCTATTATGGCTTAACTCTGAGCGCAGGGGATCTCGGTGGAAATATTTATGCCAACTTGGCCTTATCTGGCCTCATAGAGATTCCATCTTACCCTCTCTGTATCTTCTTGATTAATCGGAAATGGTGAGTACAGATGACTATGGTGGACCCCATATGGAATACACATACGGTCTTTATATGAAGCACGAGTATCTGAATATTCTTTCTCCACGTGCCACATCTGTCAATTACTCCATGGTGATTCAAATCCCAATTTACCCAACAGATAATTCATTTTATAGTGCAGTATTTCTTGGGTTTCAAGTTTTAGATTTTCAGTTTAATATTAAAAACTCATTATTGCCAAAGGTTTTTGAATTGTCTGTGTATAATTTGCTGGTCCTGGCAGATAGAATTGCTGACTTTATGTAGAGAGAATGCATCAACCCAGCCACTATCACTTAAAGGTTTTCACACAAGACAAACTGGAAGGATTTTTCTCCCCTCTCTCAGACCCACTGGACTTTGTTGAGGGGAGACTAGATCCTGGTTTTGTGACACATTGTCATTGACCACAGTTTTGAAATACTTCAGGAAATTTCTCTTATAGATGACCCATTTGTCAATTTTCTCTGAATGCCTCTTTATATAACCCCTGTCCAAGCAACTCAGAGTCTCTTTCTGGGTGATCTAGGGACCAGTGGGTTATATCTTTTCTCTCCTTCAGAAATCATCCTTCCACGTGGTGCTTGATGCATTGTCATGGATACTGGGGTGTTTGAAAGAACAGCTTTAGTTGCTGTACAGTGCATAGCTTTCCTATGGAGAATATTCACAGTTGCTGGATCATAGAGCATAGTCTGTCCTTGGCTTCCCCTTTGTGCCCAGGACCTGTTCCTTTGTCACCTTAGAAATTCTGGTGCATACCCCTGATGGCCACTTAGAGTGTCATAAGGACTGCCCCTGGGGTAGTCTCTGTGTCTTGCCCCCACTCCCACCACCACACCAGCACCAGGGCCGTCTCTGGAAGGTTGTTCCGGACTGACTATCAGGTCCCACTCAGTGAGTGGAGATGCTTTTCTCTCCCGTCTCTCACCCCTCCTTCCACCAGTGTCTGGATCACAGTTTGATGCTGAGGGAGAGCCTGTGGCAGGAAGTGGACAGTCCTGATCTGAAACCTAGTTTCAGCCACTAGAAGCATTATGACTTTGATTTACCTCACTAAAACTGTGAACCTATTCTTAGGCTCGGAATTAGAAACTTCCTCTGGCAAAATTGTCATGAAAATTACAAGAGATATCAATGTTCGTAATCTTGCAGTTGCAGCCCTTCATAAAAATAGATTGTGGGCTGGAGTCTTAGTACAGTGTAACGCTCTCACCTTGCACATGGCCAACCCGGGTTCAATCCCCAGTATCCTGTATGTTTCCCCAGTCCCTACCAGGAGTGATTCCTGAGCTCAGAGCCAGGAGAAGGTCCTGAGCAGCAATGGGTATGATCCCAAAATAAAGCAGAATAGACAAAATGCAGATTTGATAATAGCTCTCCTCAAAGTCTAGATAATTAATTCTCCTTGTATAGCATCTGATTTTTCACTTAATTGTGACATATTAACAAGAATTGTGGACTTTTTTTTCCTGCTTGTGCTTTTAAGAAAATGAGGGAGGTTTCTCTCATAGCATTTAATGTTTTCTGAAGATTCCAGTAACCAAAAAATGAACTATGTTGGGCACCTTCATTCTCTATGCTATGTTCCCCATTTCCTTCAGGTGGAGGATACAACAGTGTCTGCCTTATGGATTGTTAATCCAGTTAACAGTTCGAAAACATCACAAACAGGCTCAGCACAGAGCTAAGAAACATCTATTCTCTCCTCCCCTGCACCCCAACCCTGCCACTTAATCCTGCCCCCTCATACATTTTCCTTTGTTTTGTTTTGCTGCTTGGTCAGTGCCATCAAAGGCACATAGGAAATGAAACTAAGGACATGGTATGAGAAAGGTTGCGGGAAGAGATGCATGATAACGTTCTCAAGAGACCTGTATCGTTTCATCCCATTGTTCAGGTTCGGTCGGAAGCGGACATTAGCGACATTTCTGAGCCTAGGAGGGCTGGCTTGTCTTATTGTCATGTTTCTTCCAGAAAAGAAAGGTATGCTTTTCAAATTTCTATGTCAGGGCTTTGAACAGCACTTTTATTACAATGAATCTCAATATAGTAGAGAGATTACCATATGCCATGCTTCATTTCTGTGATTGCATATTATTTAGCAATTTTGTGGGGCATAATGGGCCAGATTCTTTCCATTGCCTGAACTGTTCTCTGGGTGAATAATGTGCTTGGAGGTGCACTATTAATTCTTTCAGGCGATTAGCTACCATCTGGGGTGGCTGGGATACGGCACTGGTAATGTTACAGGGTTGTTTATTTGATGGCGATGTTACGTACAGAAAGACACTCTCCCTAAGGCTGCAGATCATACTCATGCAGGCCTCCTCCTAGAATTCAGAGAAAGCCTGCTGCTTCCCAGAGGGGCTCGGACACCCTCAGTACCTCTCTCAGTACTCCTTGGGTGCCCCAGTAGGAGCAGCAGCAGTCACAGAAAGAGTCACAGCTGTTGGTCACAACTGGCATTGTCAGTCTCATTTCATGAGCCAGTGAAACTTATCTTTAGGAAATTTTGCGTTTTTATGTGTTTGTAGCTTTGCTCTGCACACATGGTTTCTAAAACGGTTCCCCTGACTTTCTGACCTAACCCCATTTCTGTGCCCCTGCCTAGGAATTTTGCCGCTAATGCTGGTTTGGTTTTGATGTTTTAGCACTAATCACCTCAGGCTTGCCAGTAAGCACACTGGGGACTGTGGGTTTTCACAGGAATTTTACACCAGGAAAGCTTAGGCCTTCAGGACAGCAAAGGCCTTTTTTGGGGGCAGGGGTAGACTTTGGGATTTTGCTCAGTTTCCCCAGTGGAGCTTGCACTTTGGGTGGGAGTCATTGTGAGAAGCTTTCACTAAGTTTTAGTAACCCTTAGAAATGTTGTTGAAGAATTAATTTATTTCCATCAGAGTATATCAGGTATTGGATATTATGTAGATAAAGTTTCTCCTGGACATTTGATTTCACCGTTGTCTCTTCAAGACTCTAGGTCCACTTGTTCTCATGCTCTTTCTCTGCTTTTCACCCATTGGGGTGCCATTTGAGGCCCAGAATCCTCTACTTTAAGATCAGGCTGGAGTTTGCTCACTAGTTAGGACTTTATTCAGTGTTTTGAATGGTCTTACTGTGACTATCATGAAGTCAGGAATACTAGAAAATTCAGTTAACTTGAACTATTTCTTAGTCTTAATGTTTTGGTAAAACTAAATACCCAACTCTTTCTCTGGTAATAAAGCAGTCATTATAGACTGAAATAAGATAAAACAGTAATTATAGTTAAATCACTGAGAATATAGTTTCAAATCATTGTAACTCTAGATTAGCAGTGTTTGTTGTTCATAGGTGATTTGGGAATTCATGGGTTTTGGTTTTGGTTTTGGGTTTTGGGTCACACCCAGTGATGCTCATAAGTTACTCCTCGCACTGCACTCAGAAATTACCCCAACCAGTACTCAGGGGACCATATGGTGTGCCAGGGATCAAACTGGGGTCAACTGCGTGCAAGGCAAGCACTGGACCCGCTGTACTATCACTTTGCCCCATGAGAATTCATTGTTTTCTGCCCACAATAGTCCCAGTGTCTCACCCAAAGGAAAAAAATATTTCACTGTTAGTACAAACACTTGTTGCATCCCACAGCTTTTCAAACTAGGCTAATTACTGTCTTTCTTCACTGTGTGTATGTGTGTGTGTGTGTGTGTGTGTGTACAGCCTTGAGGTAACCCCTCAGGACTATGCACAAGGCCCTTTCTACAAAAACCCAAATTGAAGCAGATGTGTGGGCCCCTTCATGAGCCATCTTTACCCTCTGTCCACTTCCAATCTGCTGGAAGAGTCAGCTAGCGCCCTTTGCCAATGGTGCCCCTTGGTGGACACCAAAAAAGAAACTCAGAATGGTCTGTCATTCACAAGCCATAAATATACGTTGGGAACATGACACTACTTTCATATTTAGAAAAGTCGAAGTCTTGTCTAGTTCTGCAGATTTTCAGGGTAAGAAATTCCATAAGGTTCCTTTGCAAATAGTTTCTATTTTTAATAACCATTAGAATGTTAAAATGAGCCTCTTCCACTACCTCTGAGCCCATTTACTTTCATTTTATTCATCACTAGAGAGAGAGAGAAAGAACAGATGGTCAATATCCCCCCTCCCCTTCTGCTTAATCTTTTCTCCACTTGCACGGAATCCTCTAACTATTCCTGAATCCGTTGAGCTAAAAACACTTGTTTAAATTTTCTTTGAATTTTTTCTCTTTAAATATTTCAAACATTTGGTTGGTTTTCTCTTAGAAAAGGCTGCTGGATCCAGCCCAGGGCTACTGTTTCCTGCCCCTTTGCTCTCTGACAGCATCCTGGCCACACTGACCAGCCGGCCTTCAGCCCAGATGGATCTCATTGGGCTGCTGATCAGCGATGAGAGTCCCCTCTGCCTCAAAGACTGCAGCTTCCCCACCCACAGTAGATAATTGGATCTTTGAATGCCACAAAGGTCAAACAGAGCTTTTTTCCCCAAAGTTATACGATTTAAGCTAAATTATTCAAGTTCTGAGAAGTACGTATGTAGTCGGAGGTCTAATAGTGCAAATAATTCTATTTGCTCCTTGTGTCTCATGAAAACCACTTGTTTTCTCACTGCTTTTCATGATCTTTTCCCCTTCGCTTTCCCACCAAGCATGTATTCATTCTTATCTTCCTGCCAGCTCATATTCTCCCTGTCCTGCCAGTTATTTTCTCTGTCTGTATCTGATTGTGGTTTTCTGTCCAAGGCACATGAAATGTACTTCTAAACAATTTTATTGGGAAGCTGGAAACAGATTACTTGGCATCCATTAGGTTTGATGTCTAGTTATTTGATGTGCTCACTGATGTGCCATGGCACAGCACTGGCTCTTAAGTAAGTACTTTACCCTAGCGGTAAGGTTTCCAGGAGCACACTAATCCACCAACCCCCCCATCTCCTAGGTGCCTCATCAGCCCTTTCACCTGATCCTGCTTGAAGGACCCTAAGTAAATCACAATACTGACTCCCATTTATGTGCCAGTGCCATGATATGGCATATTAATTCTCCTATTAACAGGAAATGAACTCTCAGAGAGGTCAAGTAAATTGTCCAAGGTGGACAGAGCAGTAAGGTATGGACCTGGGGTTCAGATTTCACATCTTCTTGATTCTCATGTCAGCCTGTAGGGGGTGCTGTTTGACCTTTTTGGCATCCAAGGATCCAACTGTCTACTACAGTAGGTGGAGAAGTTGAGTCTTTGAGGAAGAGGGGCCTGAGGGCTCAGCTGCAGCCCCACTGGGCCGTATACCTGAATAGCAGAGGGGCTTTTCTTTGCTGGTGGAGCAACCTCATAAGATCCGTCTGGGCTGTCAGGGTGGTACTGGGCAATGTGGCCAGGATGCTGTCAGAGCAGCTGAGGAGCAGGAAACGGCAGCCCCGGGCTGGACCTCGCAGCCTCAGACATTGCTCTAGTGCTACACAGATCTTCCATTGCTCTCCATTCTTAACTCATTTGACTTCTCTCGTGTCTTCTGTTCACAGTATACTGTGTCTAAACAGGCCATAGTTCCTAACCTCACAGAACTTAGAATCTAGTGAGGAAAAGAATTGATTAAAAAGAAAGGTTGAGGATCTGGAGCAATAGTACATTGGGTAGGGCATTTGTCTTGCAAGTGGCTGATCTGGGTTGATTCCTGGCATCCCATATTGTATCCCTAGCCTGCCAGGAGTGATTCCTGAATGCAGGGCCTAAAGCTTCGGGAGACACCTCAAAGTCACCCTAGCCTTGAAGGCTGTTTTCTGTGCCCCATAAAAGAATGCATTTTTTTAAGCTACACTCATCAGTATTCAGGGACTAGTCCAGTTCTCTACTCACAGGACCATATAAGGTATATGTGGTGCAGGAATTCAAACACAGCCATCTGCAAGGTGTCTTAACCTCCTGTACTGTCTCTCAAGCCTCTAAAAGTTAAAAAAAAAAAAAAAACAAGGATCAAGTGATTCTAAGTAACTTGGTTTCATTCCAGAACAAAGAAATATAATAAAAGTCAGCAGCTAACAATGTGACCTTCACACTGTAGGCATTCATGCAAATGTTTCAGGTATGAAAATAAGCAGGAAAATACTTAAAAGAAACAAGAAACAAGAAAAACAGGACCCAAGATATTTACAGGAGGTGAGGTGCTTGCTTGCCTGCTTGCTTGCATGCAGCGGACCCTGGTTCTATCCACAGCTTATGGACCCCCATCACGGCCTGGGCTCACTCCCAAGCACAGAGCCAGGAACAACCCCTGAGTGCCACCAGCTGTGGCCCAAAAACCAAAAAGATGGATAAAATAAAATAAAATATAAGTCAGGAGGTTTAACAACAAGAGAAACAAAGTTAAGAGTAATGCAGAGATATTCATCTGGGGAACATAAAGTAACAAAATAGGAGACTAACACCCAAGAGTGGCCAAGATTAGTACCAGGAGGTTTATTCCATGGCTTGGAGGCCAGCTACACATGCTAGGGGAAAGGGCAGCTCAGATAGAGAAGGGAGCACCAAATAAAGGGTGTTGGGAGAATCCTCCCAGGATGGGAGAAGCATGCTGAAAGTAGACTATAGACCAAACATGATTGCCGCTCAATGTCTCTTTTGCAAACCACAACACCCAAAAGGAGAGAGAGAACAGAGGGAAATGCCCTGCCACAGAGGCAGGGTGGGATGGGGGGATTGGGGGATGGAAGGGATACTGGGACCCGTGGTTGTGGAAAATGGGCACTGGTGGAGGGATGGGTACTTGATCATTGTATAATTGAAATCCAAGCACAAAAATTTGTAAGTCTACAACTGTATCTCATGGTGTTTCACTAATAAAAATTTTTAAAGCAATGCAGAGATATAAATTATACACTTATTTTATATGTGTGCATATATATACATATACATACACACAAAAAATTAAATGAAACAAAAGTGAGACTAGGGCAATAGTACAGTAGATAGGGAAT